ACTAGTAGTAGTAGTATGAGAAGGGGCGGAGAAACATGCGTAAAAACAATAATCACAGGAAACTTAGTTCCGGCCAGTTAGCAATGAATGAAGATCCTACAAACTGAACTGGGAGTTCAAATTTGAAATGATTAAAGCAAGCTAAGTCTGGGGAGCTTGCGAATTAATTTCGTGACCGCACTTTTCACTGTCAAATAAACAAACTCGTCGTCTCTCACCGCTTCATTCAAACCACAAGTTGGTGAGACAAATGTGCATGCCCCAAGTGGTCTTTTTCTACCTTTTCTACATTTTGTTTAGTGAGCTTGTCTTGCATACTTGTAGCTACAGTGGCCCACTCCTCTTTTCCCCCAACACTTGTTCCTTCTATAAAAGAGGTCTAAACCCTAAAGTCAAAGTAGTGCAAAGGCCACCCACAAAACCCGGTGAAATGGACAACAACATGTGTCTTGTGTGCTGTGCTCCTCCCATCATAATTAGCACTACTTCTGGTCTCTCTGCATATTAACAAACTTAATCAATCCTAATTATATATATAAATTCTGATAGTACATCTTGTGCCATGGACTCATCTAATTAAATGGAAAAGAAAGGGATCTTGTCATGCTTGGACATTATGTGGGAACCTCCTTGTCCTTAGATTGTGCATGCCCCAGCTGCCTTTATTTTTAATTTTCTCCCCTCTTCAGTTGAGGACCACCCTTCTCCATCCTCACACCTTTTCAGATGTCTAGCTAGGGCTTGACCTGGCCCCATCCATGTTGCATTTCACATGCCAGCATATAAGTATATGCCAAATTCACACGAGATGTAGGGCCGGGGAAGTCAAGGGCACCAGAGATAAGATCCTGCACTATCTCTACATGCATCCATCCTCGTGTCTAGTTGCATATGTAATACTAGGAGTAGATAGAAGCTATGGCCTTAGATGCAAGAATTGCACCAAATGCAGCTCCTCATAAGAATCCAAGTTTTCCTTTGTTTTCTTGAGGACGGGAAGTCAAGGCTTTGTACACTCCAAGAACAGCCTTTACCAAGATGCTTCAAACTATGAAGATTAACGCGGTTTTCTCACCCGTGTAACTAATAAGCTACTGACCACGTGTAGTAGTGCTTACTTATTTACCCAGAGGCTATGTTCCAGTACGTTGAACCAAGCAGGATAACAACGTACAAACACTCGCTTCTAGAAGTGGCATTCACATTTCTGGTTTCTCTCTCTCTCTCTATATATATATATGGCACTAATTCATCATCTCGAACTCAAGAATTTTACAGGAACATTACATGAATTTCATAAAAATAGGTCATTTTTTTAAAAAAACATAGAAACAAACATAAAAAAATCCCGCGTTTCAAAGATAACCTTGGTCTGAAAAGTCTTCATTGCATTGTCATACAAGAATCGATGATATCATTGATGAAGTTTAATTACCCGTCCCGAGGCAAAATTAGGTGGGTAAAAAGGTGGTATCCACTATAGCTAATCCGTGTACATGTGTAGTAGTGCATATATATATATGCATGAATCACCTCACATGGCACACACTTAACAGTGGGTCGATTGACGTTGCGTGTGCTGCTGCATTGGATGCATTACCTAAGTAGCTCAAGACCAGGCACGTCCCTTTCCGGTTTGGCTCCCTCTCCATCCATCTTTTTGACCCCAAAAAGCCAGCGATTAGGCTCTTAAAAATGGCTATAGAGAGACATGAAAGGGATACTTCTCTAGCCTGTTTCCCGTTTAAATATCACTCCTTTCGACAATTCGATTTGTTCGCATTTGAACCCGGCACCGGCACGCACATGCATGCGCACTACCGTACTAATCTAAGCGATCAAATGTCCATTTGCGCGCGAATAGTTTATATTTGAGTAAATTACACGGCCGGTCCTTAAAATATTAGGATGGTTTTATCTGAGTCCCCAAACTACGAAATCACACGTTTGGCTCTCTAATGTATTCAAGTGATCTCATCCAGGTCCAAGTTAGACGCGAGGAGTATTAGAAGCTGACGTGGTCGTCCATGTGGACATGATTTGGCACGCCGTGGAGCTGCTGGCGCATGGAGCCGGAGGAGGACGCCGGGGCCGAACCAGAAGCTCATGATGGAGGACGCGCGACGCCACGATTGGAGATGTACCCGTCACCGATCGTGGAGCAGAAGATGCAAGGCGAAGACAAAGGTCGTACGTGTGTGTGGAGGACCGGAGGTAGGCGTATGGCTGTTGTACGTGCGCATGGTGCAACCAGGTGCCGGACGTGGCTGCTGCACGCGCACATGGTGCATGTATGCTCCATGGCGGCGTCATTCGTCATTGCTGGCGATGAGAGCACTCGTGCAGCACGGCTATGGCAGAGCGACAGCGAGGCGCGTCCGCGTGCACGGTAGCGTGGCGCGGTGAGGTCATGGCGGCGGCATGCCGTGTTCCAGCATCGTCACGGCAGCGCTACCCTCACGTCACACCGCAGATGCTTCTACTACCTAGGGTGACCCCGAATCGAGAGAGAGAGAGGCAGGGCAGAGCGAGATCGAGGGAGGACAGCCACGCGCGAGCATGCGTCCAGCGGCCATGGCAGCTGTCGCGCCGAGATTTGGCCCGAGGGGCCTCTACCTTGGATGAGCAGCGGCGCAATCTAGTGGAGAGGGTGGAAAAGGCCTTGGCACTGCTGGAGTGGAGGGGAACCGGACAATGGCGAGACGACGGTGGCGAATTTGGCGGGCGAAGCTCGTCGGCGTCAATGGCGGGGCTCTGGAACAGGGCAGAGAGGAAGAGCAGAGCAGCATAGCGCTACTCCTCATTCTTGCCTGCGCGGGGCGTGGTGGCAAGCCACGTGCACGCTGCCGCAGACGAGAGCCGTCGCTCTGCCTTGCGCCCAGGCCGCCGTGGGCGAGCGCCGCTACGCTTTGCGCGCACGCCGCCCGCCGTGGGCATGCACTCGGACATCGCTGCCCCGTCGCGCACGGCCATTGCTACCGTACCACCGCCTCCACTTGGCTGTGCGGATGCTCTGCGCCGCCGTCGCTCACACGCGCAGGCGCGGGCAGGCCTCTGCCGTCCATCAATTGCGCCGCCACCACGTTGCCGCCGTCTGCCGCCTCTGCTGCTGCCATACGCCATGTCCACGCTTAAATCATGTCCACGTGGACGACCACATCAGCTTCTAACCCTCCTCGTGTCTATTTTGGACCTGGATGAGATCACTTAAATATATTAGGGAACCAAACGTGCGATTTCGTAGTTTGAGGACCTAGACGAAACCCGTCCAATACTTTAAGGACCGGCCATGTAATTTACTCTTTATATTTTATGTGAGCGATTCAAGTATGTAATTGGGAGGGATAATGATCCTTGTCTTCCATGGATTATTTGTCTGGCTCTTGCGAAGCTTTATATATTCAACCACAAAAAGGAGTCAAAGAAGGGGAGACCCAGTGGACCCTCACCTCATGTGAGAGTCACTCAACAATGCAAGGCTACTAGCTCTCATCTATGCATGGAACCAAAGGAAACACGTCAAAATAATAGCAGGAAATATATGGGGCATCAGAAAGAGTGCCTGCTGCCTGTGCCTACTAGCTTCTACACTTTTCACAATGTTGTCTGTATCTAACCACTCCATTTGTTTCAAAGCTTGCATTGGTTTCTCTTACACGCATGCAAGGAGGCAATTTTTCTTTTTCTTTTCTAGCTAGTTCGTTCGGACGTCTCATGTATTGCGCAAGCAAGCACATGCACTCATGAAAAGCAAAGCCATATGGTGGCTTATAAAAAAAAGCACATGCATTATAATGTTGTGTAGCATTTTGACATGTATCATAATTGCTACTGTGGTAGTATCTTGGGTATAGATCACCACAACGTTTAAAAGGGTCGGTTGATGACTAGATATGTATTCCTTCTGTCCCAAAATACAAGGGATTGAAGTTTGTCCTAAGTCAAAATATCATAAATTTGACTAAGTTTATAGAAAAGAATAATAGTATTTACAACACCAAATTAGTATCATTAGATACATTGTTATTATATGTAGCTTTATAATTTACCTCTTTGATGTGGTAGATACTAATACTTTTCTTATAAATTTGGTCGAACTTAGAATATTCTGACTTAATTAGAAACTTTGATTCTTTATATTTCCGGACATAGGGAGTATATATGTTCTGTTCATTGTTGGCCTCGCTCCCTCCTTTTCTCATCAGTGGCAGGCACCTTTTCATAATCTTTTATATATTTATGTTTGTGACACTTGGTACCGAGCACACAGCATATATAACTTATGTAGGACCCAATAAAAGACTTCATGTAGTACCTTATATTTCAGCCTAGTGACCTTTTGTGTGTGTGTGTGTGTGGGGGTGGGGGGGGGGGGGGTTTCATCACTGGCCTATATATGCTTGATTAGTGATGTGTGTGTTTACCACAGACTGCGTCTGCTCTAATACTATACTAGTGACTTGCTTGCTCTTGCATGTAACATTTATTGCCATAATGAATGAAGTGCTGTATGAAACTACTACCTAATGAGGGCAGACGGGAACATTCTAAAAATTATTTCCTAGCTAGAACACGCATTTAATTTAGCACAACATTCCTTCCATTGGTCCTAACGTTAGGGCACACAAATCCAAACACTACACTTGGAGACTTGGAGGAGAATAGAACAGAGAGATGCATACAAACCATGCAAGCTCCCAGTAGAGTACCTCCCCTTAATATTTGCTCCTGGAATTGAACATGGTTAAACAAATGCAGGTGCACCATGCATGTCACCCCTGCCATCTCATCTCATCCACAGTGCCTGCCCTGCCCTGCCCTCCTTCCTTTTCCCTCCCAAAGGACACCTCCAAGCTCCATTTAAATACAACCCCTCCCTCCCTCTCTTGTGACCACTACTACACTACACTACTCCAAAACGACCTCAAGCCAGCACTCAAGCTAGGTAGCTCACAGCCTCAGCTAAAGCCTAGCTCACTCGTGCTCGTGCTCATCGTGCCATGATGAATACCCGAGGCAGTGGCAGCAGCAGCGGCAGCAACCAGACCATGATGGCCTTCTCCGAGCATCCGAAGCCGGCGGCGTCGTCGTCGTCGGGGCAGCCGCAGCTGTCCCCGCCGTCGTCGCCGAACGAGCGTCCGCCAGCGGGCCGCGGGCGCCGGCGCGCGCAGGAGCCCGGGCGGTTCCTCGGCGTGCGGCGCCGGCCGTGGGGCCGGTACGCGGCAGAGATTCGCGACCCCACGACCAAGGAGCGGCATTGGCTGGGCACGTTCGACACCGCGCAGGAGGCGGCGCTCGCCTACGACCGCGCCGCGCTGTCCATGAAGGGCGCTCAGGCGCGCACCAACTTCGTGTACACGCACGCCGCGTATAACTACCCGCCCTTCCTGGCGCCGTTCCACCACGCGCAGCAGCCGTCGTCGTACGCGCACGCGCCGTCGTCCGTGCAGCAGCTGTACGGCGTGGGCGCGCCGCACATTGGCTCGTACGGCCACCACGGCCACCACCACCAGGGCTCGGCGGGCGCTGGAGCAGCTGGCAGCGGCGCGTCTTCGGGCGAGTGCTCGTCGACGATGCCGGTGCCCGTGGAACGTGCCGACGGCATGCTGCTGCTGGACCGCAGCGGCGGCGGGCACCACCACCACGAGTTCCTGTTAGCGAGCGCGGACGACAACTCCGGGTACCTGAGCAGCGTGGTCCCAGAGAGCTGCCTCCGGCCACGGAGCAGCGCGGCGGCGGTGGAGGACCTGCGGCGGTACTCGGACGCGGACGCCTACGGGATGGGCATGGGGCTCCGGGAGGACGTGGACGACCTGGCGCAGATGGTTGCCGGGTTCTGGGGCGGCGCCGGCGAAGCGGACCAGCTGTGCGGGTTCCCGTCCGGCGGCGCCGGGGACAGCATGGTGGCGTCGTCGCAGGGGTCCGACGGCTACTCGCCCTTCAGCTTCCTCTCCCACTGATGAGCTAGGAATGAGGATGAGCTGCCGTTGCCGCGCGCCCATGCATTGCATCTGCTGCGCACGTAGCTCGATCGATCAGGGAGCGATCGATCATCAATTAGCCTAGCTAGCTAGTTTGCTTATCATGATGATCGATCCTGATCATCAGTTCTTTCCGATCCCTGCTGTTTAATTCCTTTCGAGAGAGTTGGGTCGCCCAGAGTGTGAGTGAGTGAGTAGTATAGTAGTGTTAGCATTTAGCATCAGCAGTAGAGGGAGCGATCGAGAGAAGAAGAAGAGAGAGTGACTAGCTGCGCGCCCTAGCTCCTTCTTCTTCATGTCTTCATGTACTCGTAGGCTCTTATTATCAGTCTTCGATCTTCTAGTCCTAGTACTTTGACCAAATTTCATGTTTCATCCATGAATGAAGACCTACTTTATTTGTAGTAGCTTTAACATCGAGCTTTTTAAGATCATCAACTCGGTCCAACGCTTGCTTATTATTGTAGTTAATTAAATACCTGCTTATTCATCAGCTCGTTAAATTAAAGTAATTAAAAGATCATTCGAGAAGTGCTAGTAGAGAGGCCCGGTCGGCAAGCAGGTAGGTATAGTATACTATATTTCATCCTAAATTATAAGTCATTCTAAAAATTTTGGAGAGTCAAAGCATCTCAAGTTTGATTAAAATTATAAAAAAAAACTTACAAAAAGATTTATGACATTAAATAGATATATAGTATAAAAACATAATTAATGAAGAACCTAATGATACTTAGTTGATATCATAAATGTTATTATCTTATCATATAAATTTGGTCAAACTTGAGATATTTTTACTCTTCAAAATTTTTCAAATGATTTATAATTAGGGATGGAGTGAGTAGTACGCCAGTATCTAACGAAAGTGAGCAGGACACAGGAGTACAACAGAAACCAACGAAACGGATAGACGATGGCAAGTACAGAAAGGGCTGGTGCAGTTGGAAATATATACTCCCTCCTCCAGAAACCAACGATATATTAAAATATATAAATATTTATGCTAAGTAATTAGATCATCGGATCTTTTGTCTAGTAACAAATTTATTTGAAGATATAAATATTGCAGTTGGAAATATATACGCAACAGCCTTACAGAGTTACAGGCAACAGGGCGCGCGGGACAGTTCAGTTCAACGGAAAGCTGCCTCTGCCTGGACAAGTGTCACGCCAGCAACACTCTCCGCAGGGTACTTGGTGCCGCTTCCAGCGTACTTGAGGGTCAGGCCGTGCCCCTGTCTAGACACGTGGTGTAAAGTTTTGGTGTGTCACGTCGGATGTTATATGGGATATTGTATGAGTTGTTTGATACTAATAAAAAAATAAATTACAGAATCATGGACTAATTAGGCTTAAAAGATTCGTCTCACAAAGTAGTCGTAATATGCACAATTAGTTATTTTTTAAATCTATATTTAACGTCATGTTCGCTTAGCTTATAAGCCATACTTTTTCAGCCAACGAGCAATATTTTTCTTTCACAATAATAAACATACTTTCAACCATAGTTTATCAGCCAAGCGAATATAACATAATATTCCATGCATGTGTCCAAACAATCGATATGATATGGTGTAAAGTTTTGACGGATGCCAAGTGCTCAGTGACAGTGAGTAGTGCCGGGGCAGGCACTGTTTAACATGCCCGTGTAGTGTCTGCACTTTCACTACTGTGTGCAATGCAACAGAATTGATCTAGACATACGTACATGTACCTGTAAGAAATACATACTACAATAATAGGACTACATACATGCACGATACTACTGGAGTAGTAGTAGTAGTTAGTACACTCCTGGAGTACATACATAGGCTGTGCTGTCAGCTGTGCAACGTCGAACGGTACATACAGACCGGACGGCACAACGCTGGGCCGCTGTTGGGCCTGAAGCCGCGCGCAGGTTGTTGGGCCTGTAGCTGAACAGTAGAGGATCACGATGAACAGTACCAACCCGTTAAGAAACAGTACCGACCTTTTTCGGGTTTTTTTTTGCGTTCACACCTGAAAATTAAAAAAAACCGTGCGAAGCACGGCGCCTCCAGCTAGTATATATCTATATTTCATGCTGAGAAAAAAGTCCATCCGCCTCCCTTAACGATTGCCTGAGTCTAATTTACACATCACAATAGAAAAAATCAATTTTTTTCAAACTCCTCTACCTCTTAAAACCATGCAATTTACTTCTTTAAGCGGTTTTGAAAGTTGTTTTGGCTAACGTGTAGTCACGCCAGCCATCCTAAATGGCGCCACATCAACCACGAGGGAGATAAAAGCAGACTTTTACTATAGTTCAGGGAGATTAATTAAAATTTATAAAAAAATTATAGAAATATTTTTTAAAAAAATATTAATATATTTTCTAAAATAAGTATGCATTTCAAAATGATAAAATCAGATTTAACATTAGAAAAATTATAGAAAATTTGCTTAACTTAGAAAAATATGAAACATTTTCATATTTTTTTTCTAAAATCATGTTTTATGTTTTTCTAAGTTAGCCACCATAAATATAGCATGGTTTTAGAAAACACATGATGTCCGGCATTCCGAACCTGTCCAAACTGCCTTCCTGCTCAGTCATATGCTCCCGGTGTGTGGGCAGACATATGACAGTAATGACGAATGAGGAAGCAATTGCGCCTATCCAAATGTTATTGACCAAGTCACAGACACCGATTCGTGAGCTAGAGAAATCACTGTCGGCTACCGCTGATGATCAAATGACTATGCACACGGCATCGTCGTGATGTCCCATGAAGAAGACAATGCTACGACAAAGCTAAACCACATGATATATGTTGTTAATAATGTGTAGTCAAATCTTGAATTATATTTTTTATTTGAAATTTTCCACGCATGTCTTGATGGTTAAGACATTGCTTCTAAGGAAACATTTTTTGTAGTTTGCATGGTGGGTTGTGCGGTGAGTCATGTTGCGGTCTGTAAGGATTTGTCTTGGTCTTCATCCCCTTTTCATATTTGGCCTAGTGTCAAGTTATAGGAGATTATATAAGATTCAAACAATTCTAAGCAAGAAAAAAGGTAGAGCATGATTTTTAGAAAAAATGGTTTTCACATTTTTCTAAGTCAAAACAAATTTTCAAATATTAAATTATAAATTTTAGTATTTTAAGTACATATTTATTCTAGAAAAACAATTGTTGATTTTTTTGAAAAATACTTCTGTAGTTTTTTTTAAATAAAGTTTATCTCCCTCGTTGCTAATATGGCGTCATGTAGAACCGTTGACGTGATGCCACGTTAGCTAAAATCATTAAAACTGTTTAGGAAGGAACATATGATGGTTTTAAAATTGTGGTAGTCTAAACATCCATTTTTTTATTAGGAAAGCAAATCGAACTTACACAATGGTGAAGGAGGTTAAATGGATTTTTTTCCTTCATGCTGCTTTTTGAAGTGAACATAAGCCAATCTACCACTGCCTCTGTAGATACATACACACCGGACTGCAGAACACTTTCGGTTGGCCTGAAGCCGCGCACAAGTTGTTGGGCTTGTCAGGCCTGGAGTTGCTTGGCAGACCAGGTGAGAGGGTATGACCCTATGCCCCTATTGATTTCATGCTGCTTATTAAAGTGAATCAAAGCCGATTTGTATGCACAATACTTTTTTTTTTGCAAAACACACAGATTTGGATCTCTTCTTAAGAGGAAGAATGCTGTACTGATATCGTGGGACTACATCGACTATAGGGCTCAGCCTTTCTTCGGAGACGTCAAAAAGTTCTAGGAGAGCGCTAACAAGAGCATGATTCTGATGAGAGTTTTGTTGGACCGCCGCATGTCCCAGCTCGCCCGTCTCAGGTTAGTTCCCGATCTACCCACAGGATCCACCACCGATCCTAGCGTGGCCTACTTCAAGGAGCGCACAAAAACCTTCACCCAGTTGATCGACGGTGTGGAGATGGCCGTCACGAGTTTGAGTCTGTCCTATATTGTGCAGAACCAACTCAGATCTAGTTTGAACTGCTATTCCACGTGAAAGTGGAATTACCCATATCTAAAAGCAATGGAGTGTAATATGAAATTCCCCTGTCCAAGGCAAGTATAGATATCAAAGGATATTTAAACTCACATTTTGTTGACATGTATAAATATCAAAGGATATTTGTCGGATACCACAAGAAGGGGTACCCTAAGCAAGATCCAAGAATATTGCTTAAGCCTTGCTAAAACCAAAGCCAAAAGACTACTGCAAGGTCTCGGCAATTCTCCGATTCTCCGAGGCCTTGGCAACAGGCCTCATGCCACAGGCCTAAACGTCCCGCCGAGGCCCTTCTTGAGACCCTCTCGCCAAAGCCTTGCCCCGAAAGGCCTCTTGGACGGATCTCATCGCTCAAAGGCCAGGCTCCTAAAACGTCCCGACCGAACTCCGAGGCCTTCTCGCCCGAGACCCTCTCACCAAAGCGCTTGCCCGTAAAGGCCTCGGGCGGATCTCCAATACTCTCCGATTCGCCGAGCGCCAAGGACAAAGCGGCTGGAAGGTCGGTCCATGTCCGTAGCTCGCAAGAGCCTCCGGTCTCCGCGACCCCCGGCAAGGCCTCTCGCGCCCTTTCTTTCTCTCCGCCTACCGAGGCAAACATCACGTCCGGATTAAATGCACCCAACCACTCCCATCCATGTTATCCCTAGCACGCCTTACGCCACCCACGATCGGTAGGGTATGGCAAAAGTGCGACGGAAAATCACCTTTTTACCATCCCCACCGACGGCAGAGACTACGGCTCCCCTCACGGGCGCACTTTTTCACTCGAATCGGTACATGACCACCGCCCTGCAGGTCACCTCCGAGGCCTCGGCAAAGAAGGCCTCGCCACTATACTCACTAGGCCCGGCAGACTCCACTCCACCAGACACCCGTGCATGTCACCTACCTCCATATCGACTAGACGTCAACAAGGACTACTCGCGACTTCCTACCTAACCCATGGCTGCGCCCAATTGCAAAGCGGAATGGAA